AGAACTTTTTGTACCTGGCAGTGAGTAAGGACATTCAGAATTGTTTTTTGTTGCTCTTCGTTGCAGGATGTGTTAGACACGACACTTCCCTGCTGATATTTTAAAAATTGAGTAGTTAATACTTCACTTCTATGAAAGTCAAACTGAACAGTAAGTGGGGAAAAAACACTATTTATTTAACTTGCTTTTATTTTTCACCAGCTTTTCAAAGAGTTTCAGAAATATTAATCTAAAGCAGAGACAAAATAAAAAAACTCATGTTATTATGAGAATGAAGATGATCACTGCTAATTAAGAAAGGGATTAAGCAAAGAATTTATTATATCAGAAGGATGGAGGTTTAGAATTTTGCACTGAAAAAAATGAGTAAAAACTGCTCTGAATTTTCTACAAGGAAAAGAGGGAAGTGAAATGGTTAATTGCTCATTGTCTAATGAAAGGAATCAGACAAATTCAGGAGAGACTAATATTTTCTTGAGTGTGAGTTTACAGGAAGTCTATGAAGAATTTTTTCTTTAAAGTGGTTAAGTGTTAATATATTTGGCAAATGGCAATTAACATTACTTACATTATTGAAATATGCAGTATTTGGTTCATATGCATAAAGAACAGTGTTATCATCATCATAAGTAGAGATTCGTGTTCTTATCTAAGGAAAATTTATTAATAAATTAAAAGGAAGGATGATAGAACTTAAAAACTGAGGACTTCAATTTCACTTTCGAGAAGCTCCAAAAGCCAATTTGTGATATCAAGGGACCTTTGTAAATACTATGACTATAGGAAAAGATGTCCTTGCAAAACTGTTTTCTCATTAACTTAACCACACTTAAGACATCGTTTTCCTCTTGTGTACCTCAGGGTAGAAGGACTATTCTTCTAGTAATTTGGCAGCAGAACTGCTGTAAAAGCAAGTATTTCTAACTACAAAGAATCCTGTTCATGGCTTTTGATTTTTAAATAGACCAACAGTACCACTCTGTGGACAAAATAGGAAACACTTAAGCACCTATCTTTTTTTTTTTTTTTTTTCCCTGTACTTGGAGGCTTGTGGGATCTTAGTTCCTCCACCAGGGATAGAATGTTGGAGTCGGAAGCACTGAACCACCAGGGAATTCCCCACACCTATGTTTCTTGATAAATTAATCTCTAAATCACCTAAAACATTTTGGGGGGAATAAGACAGTGCATAAATAAGTAAATAGACAGTAAACAGCCATTACATTTCACTTAATAACTCTTTATTCTAAGAATGGATTATGAACTATAGGAATAATTTTAAACCTACATAGAAGTATGTATGTCTGTTTCAAAAGACAAAATAATGTGGAATTGGGCTATATATTAATACTTATAAAAATATACCATGTTACCTTTGTATAGCTATGCTTTGTATAGGTATGCTTTGCAAAGTGCTTTCACATAATTATGTGAAAAGAGTCAGAAAAAAAAGGACTCTTGGTAGGTAGTTAAAATTTAAAAACTTGCACACAAATGTTCATAGCAGCTTTATACATCAGTGTCCAAAACTCATGAACTGTATATTTACAACCTCTGCATTTCACTGTACAAAATTCAATTCAATTTAGAAAAAAATAGAACACAATGAAAAGAACAAAGACAGATTTTCAATTTGAAATACAAACCACATCGACTTCACTGGAGCAGCTAGACATCTTTTTTGTGCAACCAGAGAAACTCCGCTTTCTCTGAGTTGGGCCTAATTATTTTTAAACTTGCTGGAGGGTTATTTGCGAAACTCCTTGGTCCCGTAGGACTGGTAAATCTTCAACTCCTGAAAAGCAAGGCATAAAAAAGTTACTTCACCCACTTACTGCCTTAATAAACTTAACATGGATATGTTCTCAGAATACCAACTCAAGTTGAATTGGAGTCCTGGCTGAAGTTCAGAGAGCGACAAAATGAGAATTCTTCCGTTAGTGATTTAGAATAAACCTTTAAAAAGTGAAGGGTTTTATTGCCCACGCGTAGGAATAAGAATCCCGATCGAACACATTTCCAAATTGTGAAGCGGATGCTCCACAACCTAAAGGCTACAGAGTAAGTGCTGGAGACAGATGAACAACAGAGCATGAGTCCTAACTGCTCTGGTCAAGGAGCTCCGAAGCTTTTTACTCAGGGAGACTGCGGGCCTCCAAATGTGAGTCAGGAGTCTCTTGTGGCTTGGGCCGCCCACCACGGTGCAGCCTGGAGAGACCACTAAAGACATCGCCTCCTCCCCTGCTCGGTGAAAACTGGGTGAGATTACGTCTAAGGTCATTTCAGTGCTAAGATTATGATTGCTTCCGTAGTTAAATTTTAAATTAAACTTAAAGGACTGTATGTGAAAAATAAGCCAAAAACTCTTCTAGAATTGTGTAGGCTCGGTTATGGTTCTGAGTCATTCACCTCTGCCACCAGGAGGACGTTGAGTGCAATGCTGTCATATCATATCTCGTAGTAGATTTGAACGCTGGCATCACAGTACTGGGAGGGGCGTTAATGAGAGAGCTAGGTTCCCTTTATCCATCCTGAGCCAGGGCAGGAATGAGAGGCAGAATGAAGGGAAAAGTAACTCTCAAGTTAGACAAATGCAGTCTAATAATGTGGAATAAATTCAAGTTATTAAATACCTCCAATTTGAGCTGTAACTTGAACCAAATTTTACTTTTTTAGACTATGTTTATTTTTTCTGATTATACAACTAATACAAGTTATGAATACTTAAACTGGTGTTTTCATACAAAGGAAGACTACACAGCTATGAGAATAAACCAATTATTGCTACACACAACGAGGAGGACGCATCTCAGGAATCTCAAAACTACAACCTTGAGTAAAAGCCAGACCCAGAAAAGAATACAGCGTATGAGCTCAAAAAGAGGCAAAAGTAAAAGAAGTCTTTCTAAATTAATAACTTTAGATATACCATAGTCACTTCAACTTCTTCGTTTCCTATCTTGCAAATAGGCCATGATTTATTTAACTAGTCCCAAGTCATGGATATTCAAAAGTCACTCCTCAAGTCTTGCTCTTACAAAGAACAGTGCAGAGCAGGCTCCCACCTCTACCTGAACTCACACAGAAAGAGAATAGTGAGTTAAAGTTTCCCAACTCTAGGGACCATTTCTTATACTCTGACTGTATTTCTAACAACTTTGTTTTAGAGATTTAAATATATAATTTTTCTTTAAATTTGAACTATGCCACAAAGTATAGATAATAGCATCTAACAGATTTTACTGCTTACTCTGTGTCAGGCAATGTTCTAAGCACGTGATGTATGTTAATTCATTTGGCATTCCTGACAACCCTACAGGGCAGGCTCTATTATCATCCCCATTTTCCTTAAGAGAAAACTGAGGCAAAGAGACTTTAAGACCTACCCAGGTCGCATAGTAAGTAGTGCAGTACGACTCCAGAGCCTATGCGCTTTACTTCTTCATTATTAAAATCACCTGGAATCCCTTTTCGACCAAGAACAAAAGAAAATCCAGAACTCCCACCATGGCCTACAAGGTCTTTACAGTCAGGTGCCTCCACACTGCTCAGAGGTCACCTCTTATCACTTGTCCCTTTGCTCTAAGCCTAAGATACTTACTAGCTGGCCTTTTATATACAAAGTTTGCCAACCATTGTTAGAGACTCTGACAGACAGTTCCCTAATGGCTTAATTACAATGCTGCTAAAACTCGGCAAGAACCACTACTCGGCAAAACAGGGCAGATTGCAGTAGCCAGACGCCTCCGCATTTTTTTTTTTAAACAAGACCGTGTCGATACACGGATCACTTTCTAAAAATCCTGTCAGGACTCTCAAAAGCATCCGTATCAAACTTCAGCGGCTACAGAGTCGGTCAGACCGGGGGGGGGGGGCGGGGGGGGATAATGCCGTCCAAACTGCATCCCCATCACCCATCAGGGAATCGAGCCCATGCCGTGCTTTATAAAACACCGTGCAGAAAAGTTGCTCGTTAAATCACGATTTGTAAACATTAAGCCAGTTTAAAACTCTAGAGCAGTTCGACTTCAGGGAGAGCCAGGTAAAGGGGGGGCAGCGATCCCCAAGAGACGAAGATACCAACAACCGTGCTCAATCCACGTCTTTACTTCCTTTAGCCTCGCGTACGTATTTACAACCGTGAAGCTGCACTCTCTTAGATCAATCGCGGTTACCAGCAAAGCCTCAGAATCAACGTTTGCACCTCAAAAAATGTTACAACGAACGAACTCGCTAGTTGATAGATTTTCCAAACTCAAAATTCTGACAAGTCTGAGAGCCTTGGTCGTTCGTCGCCCCCTCACCCACCAAGGAAGAGAAAGGACGAAAAAGGATCAGCTCTTAGAAAGTCGGCACAAACCACTCAATAAGGGGCCACATCTCAAGCGCCTACGCGCTGGCATCCCGGGAGGGGCGGTGGGAACCACTCCGAATCATCCCAAGCCACCCCAACTGCACTGCGGCTGAAACTCCAGAGTAGACTCGGTCTTTCCGAAAAGGCAAACCCTTTCTCTTCCCTCAGGCAAACCCTCCTCCCCCGCCACCCCGCTCCGGAGCGCCACAGCCGTGAAGTAAAATCCCTCCCCACCTGCTTCAGGCGCACATCTAAGACAAGAAAGTTCAAAGGGAAGAAAAAGTGTCACCTGACAGACCTTTGCTGGCGCAGAGCCCGCCAAATCGGCCTCCGGAGGGCGCCGGACGCAGGTAGCAACGGACGACGGTGCCTCCGCCCGGGCGGCAACCACTGTAATGGTTACCAATGCCTCAAACGTTCCTCGCGCCGGAAGTACGGCGCGCTCCCGTGACGCGCCGGCCGCGAGCCCCACGGAAGCTGAGGCGCAACGCTCGTACCTGTGAGCACCCGAATGCTTAGGTTCCCACGCGCGCAGCCGGTCGCTGACCAATCAGCGACCGCTACAAGACACGCCTGGGCCGTCAGCCGACCAATCCAGCGGACCTCTGAGCCGTTGCAGGGGAGCGGGCGTCGCTAGAGCGACTGCCAAGGGGAGAGGCTTTGGTTTCCTCGGGGCGGCCGCACTTCCGGCCTCCGAGCCCCTGTAGCTTGGCGTTGTTCGCGGGGGCCGGTGGGATCGGAACCCCGTGCTAGACTGAAAACACGAGCCTCTAAGGCTGAGAGGGGTTTAGTGCGGTTGTGCAGGAGCGCCGGCGCGCGCGACTTTTTCTGTGTTGGAGCGGGTTTAAGGAGGCGGCTCTGGGGGGTGAGGCGTTTAGGTGCGTGGCCTCCCCACTCTCGGTTAGTTCTTTGAAGCTTTTTTTTTTTTTAATGTAATTCCCCCCTTTTCCTCCTCCTTCCCCGTCCCTCTGTGACGCACCCCAGACGTCGACATTGACTCAATTCTAGGCGTGCACGTCAGTGCTGGAGTTCGAAGGGGGAGGGAGCGGGAGCGGGGCTTTAGCAATTGTGGTTTGGTACATACCGGGAAAAGTTATTTTAAAAAGTTGTTATCTCTCCACAGGGTGAGGTAACACAGACCTTGGAGCCAGATTTGCTGGGTTTGTACCGCAGCCCCAACAGTTAAGCGCTCTGTGGCTTTGGGCAACTCAGGTAAATGGCTCTGTGCTTCAGTTTCCCCATCTGTAAAATGGGCACAACGTGGGGGGGTGCTTCATGAGTTAGAGTAGGCAAAGCACTTAGAACAGTATCTGGCACCTAAGTTTGCGTAATAAAGGGTACATGACATTACTTAGTGGCACATCGAGGTTGTTCATCTGAGGAAGGAGGCACAGTCTGAGTAATTATCAGAAGCAAAGCAGGTAACTTTAAAGTAAAGCCATAAATATTTTTCTGGCCTGGAGAGGTACAGGAAAGTATACTGGACACTGGAAATGTATTCTTTCTTCTCTCAAATACAAAGCGAGATCGGAGCCGGTTACAGAGATAGTATTCATTATTATCGTTATTATTTTGCTCATACTTTTGCCATAGCAGTTCCCCTCCCGTATGTCCAGACCGCTATAAAACACTTGCCGTTTGTTAAACCCCAGGAGTGCAATTACATAGCAATGAAGAGAGCAGCCAGTTGTTTAATTGCAGTCACGTTTATTTGCAGTTTCTATACACACTTTCTAGGTAATCAAACTTTTCTGGTACATTTTTTTTGAGAGGGGTTCACAATGAAACTGTCACCATTTTTACTAAAAATAAATACAAGACTTAAAGTGTTGCACAGCTCTAAAATATACAAAGGCTTGAATTGAATGTAAACGTTGAAAACATCTTACAAAAGAAACCGTTTTTGCAACGATTTAAAAAGTTCATATTTACAGATATTACAAAAATACAAAATGGAGGCAAGTCCATAAACCATTGTCTTTCGGCCAGCATGAACTGGTTCTAGTACCAAAAGAGTTACACTGTAACCTTCCTCATAGTTGTAAATCTTTGTCATGATCTAGTTCTTTCAGTCTGCCACCACTGCAGCAAATGTACTCACTGAACTTTGGCAAGAGCAAACAGTGTGTTGTGTTTGCTGCAACTGGTCCGTGTCCTCTACTTAGCCAAAAAAAATAAAAAAATCAGGAAAAAAAATTTCCCCCACACAACAAAGACATGTTGTATAAACAAAAAAGAAGAAAAAATTAGCATCAGTGCAAACAACAGAAGAAAAGTTTGGGTTGATGTTGTTCACAATACCTAACGTGTGTACTCTGCTTTAAGACGGCAGTGATGTTGAAGACAACCCTCTAAATCTTGGTCTTATGTGCTACGTGATAAAGCCATGTAGAATTACTAAGGAATTTCTTGCCTTTTTTTTTTTTAACTCAGTTTGTTACTCAATACTCTTTTGCACAGTGAATTTTAAATCCATCTTTATCTGGGTTTTTTTTTTAAATCTATGAAATATAAAATAGAGAAACTCTGCTATAAATTTTTAGAGTAAACAAAATAAGTAAAACTATATTCTAAGGGTTAGTTCTGTGATCATTACATATAGAAGGTCTCTTATTGCCTCACAATTCAAGTCAATATGTATTTTAAAATATATATAGTACCATTACTTAAATTAATGTCAATAATAAGGTGACATATTTGTTAAAGCCAATTTGTGTGTTTTCTGTTCAAGATTTAGAATCACTTTTAAAGCCTACATACCTTTCTTTACGCTTAAAAAACCCCTAACTACACAAAAGCCGTACTGCAAACGAGCTGCTTTTATGAGAATTACAAAAAATCACCTATTGTGACTGGAAATGACTTTTTTTTATTGCATTTGTCTAAAAACCTTACTTTTAAAAGTTTGCCAAGTGTACTTTTCAAAGTATGAGAAAAAGTTATTCATGTTCCCATGTGGTGTCAAACCATGCTGGTTTTCTTAACTAATGGGTTCCAATGAGAAATGATGGTCCATTTTTTTCAAACCCCCAAACATTTTTCTTTTAGTAAAAAGTATAACACTTCGTAAATGTTCAAATGTACGCTTTACCAGGTAGCTTATCTATCCCTGCACACGCACGTGCGCGCGCACACACACACACACACACACACACACACACACACTCTCCCTCCTCTACCCCGCCACCCCCAGCACCCATTTTACATACGAGGATGACAAGAAATTAAGAAACACAACTTGATAGTGAAAACAAATAGGAGAATAAACCAGACATTTTTTTTTCTTTCCAAAGAAACAAACAAAAACCCAACAGCAATCAGATTCTGTAATTCTCACTCTGTAACATCTTAAAAAGTGTTTCTATTGAAAGATAGCATCTTCTTAGACCAGGCTTTCTCCTTCATATTGCATGAACTAAACCAAAACCACAAACCCCCTTTCACACATCCTACTTTCCCAAATACCACTTGCATAAGCTTAAAGCCAGCTGCTTATCAATTTCTTGGTAACTCTGGTATGTTCTATCACTCTAATCACATTCTATTCTTTTATATAGGCCGTATTCCTTCTTAGTTCTCTACTTTCTACCTTCTCCCATTCAAAACATTCCAAGTACATAGCTGCTCATATTTCCGACATATCATTTCATACAGTATCAGTTCATGTCAAAATCACAGGTGTAAAACCCATTTGCAGATTTCAACTTGTAACTACATTTTTTTTCAGTTTTAAGACAAGAAAATTCAAGTAATTCAGCTTGTTTCCCTGCCTTCATTTTATCAGAGCACTTGCCCTGACATTTCCTTTCCCACCCACCACCCTCCCCTTTTGCCATCAAGCAGATAGAGTAAAATCAGACAAAAACTCAGTTATATGTAGCATTGTGAACCAGAGCTGCTCCCCATTCCCATTTTAACAGTGAATTTAAATAATGCATATACACATACCTATTTCCCAACTACGTTGTTCACAGTGTCATTTCTGTTAATTTTTAGGTAGCATGGATCTCATCAGCACAGAGAGAAAGCTTCACTGAAAACTCATTGCAGGTACTTACTGATAAATCCACAGCTCTGTGGCATGCTTATGTTTTATTTTCGTTCGTTAAAGAACCTGGAGCTAATTGCTCAACTGTTTAAGGAGTTTAAAGATTCTAGTCCTCAGATTAGGACTGTTTATGTCCCCAGTAGTGTAATAGAAAACATAACCTAAAATTAACTACTGTTTTCCCTACTCATTCTCTTTAAAGCAATCCACTGAAAAATTGAAGTTTAAAGGACACTGTCAAGTGCTGTTGTTCAGGGCTTTATGTTGAGAATGATGATTTCTCTCACTGATTTTTTTTTTTAAATCAAAAGCATGCTTTTCATTCTGTCCAAATTGCCACGTGGCAAATCACAGCCACGTGTTACCAGTAGTTTGTTTGGTGCTGCAGTTTGTCACAAAAATGGTTAAGTCTGAATTCATTATTTTAAATTAATCACATTTCACTATGTGACCTCAAGATTTCCTTTATTTCACCAGTTTAAAATTCATATTTTGAGGTTTATCACTCAGAAATCATATTGGTGGACATTTAAATATGGTATTTGATACGAAAATGGTATTCACAGAATACAGTTATTACACTTTATTTGTTGTGTTCTATAAGCAGTTGGTGTGGTAGATAATTGGCCACATGTCCACTCGTCATCCATAAATCTATTTACACATTTTTATCAAAAATATGGTATTTACATGTGTGTAGTTCTTCTAAATTTTGCTTTAGTTCATTTTAATGTAAAAATATACCGAACCTCCAGAGTATTTCATCCTCTTAAGAATTATGACAGTGAGGGCTTTGTTTTCTGAATAGGCAGCTCTGGGAAAACTTTTTCTAGGTTTCATGAAAAGCAGACATTTTCAAATTCTCTATTATCAAAAGGAATGAGATTGGGTAAATCAAACTACCCTAAAGAAAAATATGAAAGACAGTGCAGCTACTTAAAAATATGGAAAATAATCAAGAAAGACCAAACCACCTTCCATTTCCCCAGCAAATATTTAGGAACTTGTTGGTAAGCGTGATGGTACCCCACCATGTGCTGACTTCTCCCCAGTCTTCCGTTCTGTTCCTCCATCCTCATACGACTAAGGTTTTGGCCTTTGACAGCCAGCCTGGCGTGGACCACCTATGTTGAGCTCTGGGAGGATCGGTCATCATGTGGGCTCCCATCGGAATTTTCTGTCTCGCCTTCGGAGATGGCCTGCATGGGCGCGTTGTACAGCCTGCAGCGGACACTGTAGCGGCTGCTGCTGGCCGCAGGGGGAGCCCGGGAACGTCCAACCCTTGCCGATGCCGGGGTGGCAAAGTTCTTTGAGGAGAACCCTTCTGCATTAACCCGTGGGGAGCACGGAGAGAGGGGGGACAGCGCTTCAGTTCCCGGTGCCCCCTGATGGGCCTCATGGGTGCTTTGGGGGGACTCGGCTGTGAGTTCCCCAGGAGGTTTGGGCAGGATGGGACTCTTCAGGATCTCAGTAGCAGACATGCGGTAACTGGAATCCGAGCGGCTGCCTTTCTTGAGGAGTAGTAGCTTAAACTCTTCATTCGATGTGTTGGACTTTTTGGCATTTCGGTAGATGAGGCCAGGAGACCTCTGGCTGTTTGGGGTGGTCACACTGCTGTTGGTTGAGGTGACAGAACCAGCACTGTTGCTGCTGCTGCTGCTGCCCAGGGAAGCTCTAGATTTACTTCGAACAGACATGTCCCCAGAATCTTTTCTTCCAAGTACTTTCCTCTTGGACCTTTCAAGAAAAGGAACAATCTCAGTCCACATACACTTTAATGAAACTAAAAGTGTTACGTCACACTCAGCCATCTCCTTAAAGAGCAGTTTGTTGTACCCTGTCTGATGGGATCCTGAGCATTAGGGCTGTAGGGGCGAGGATTAAGATACATTGCTTGCCCTCGCAGCACTCACAGCCTGAGGGAAATTCTCCAGTAACCAGCGGATATGAATTAGGTTTTGGAAATGACCATTTCAAATAATGACTAATGTGGAGGCTAGAGGTTCTAGGGGAGGGCTTACTGGGAAGTTTCACAAGAGTACAAGAAAATACTGCTCTCTGACTCGTGGTTAGAGTGTAGGTGGTGAAGGACGGTCACTTTTATTCAACCTGTCTCTGCAACACAGATGAAATCCTCTGATGCCTGGGATTGGCTTCCAGTGAATACCAGGAGAGCAAAGTGGAAGGAGGTGTGGATGGGACAGGACTGGCCATAGGCTGACGGTCGATAGGCTTGGGTGATGGATATGTCTGTGTGTGTGTTTGGCTGGGGGTGGGGGCAGGCAGTGGTGCGTTACACTATTCTGTCTACTCTTAAAATTCCTCCGTATAAAGAAATTTCTTACATGACTTCTTGAGTAAGTCAGTCCATTTTGGCTGCAGATACCATTTGCCGTAGCTGCCCAGGAATATCTGTGTACAGTGTATTAATCAGTAAGCCAACTTTCTGGAGGAGCTGGCAACCTAGACCACCTCTGGAGCTCTGAAAGCTCTGTGCACTATAAACTCTCAAGAAAAGAAAAATTTTATTGTCACTGTGCTGCACGTAAATAAATAAACAAACCAACCAATTCTGCATAAATGTAAATCCAAGATGACCAGCCTCTGTAGGTCCACCAGACCCAGGCACCCAGCCGTCATGGTTATATTATTTCTTTGGATAAATAAACAGGCATAAATTTCGTGAACTTAGTCACTGAGTCAGCATGACCCAGTTCATTGCTACGTACTGGCAGCATGCTTTCTCACCAGCCTAAAAACCTGTAGGTTAGAGAAAATGTCAGTTGTGCAGTTGGACTCCAGCCTGATTATGGTGCACTGAAGGCTTCGTGGTTGCTGTCTCGTGTATGCCAGTGTCTGGCACCCTAATAGGGTAGGGATTTCAAACTAATGTCTGCTTTTAGCATCTACCATATTCTAGACACAGACATGATATTTTATCATCAAAACTGAATATGTGAGCTATAGGTATCCCCAGTTACAGCAAGGGAAATAGGTACACAGGTTTTAACTGACTCAAGACTGGACAGGAAGTGGCAGCATTGGGATTCAATTCCAGGTCTTTCTGACTCTACTCCTTCCATTCTGTCCACTCTTCAAGACACTAGCATTTGGTTTTTTAACTTCACAGCATTTAATAACTTGTCCTAAGGTTGGGGATAAAAGGGGGTGAGGAGAATATAATCAGGGACAAAGAAAAATAATGATTCTACACTCTCCAAGTGGAGCAGTGAGCCTGCCAAGGTCTACACAGAACGTGTTTGTGATTGGCTCGTTTTAAAAAAAAGTTGTTGAAGGGCAGTGTTCCTTCTTTGTGAGAGAACCACATCAACAGAAAACACAAGTTCCCCTAAAAAGTAGGATCCTGGGAAAAACAGTGGTAAGCTGCTTGTAAAGAGCTTGCTTCAGAGAGTATAACTTCATGAGGTAGACAGGGCAGTCCCCAAGCTTTGTCCCTTGGGAGTCGCATCTAGGTCACCAAGGCCTAGTGAAGTAGGCAGTGGCAGCTGTGAAAGGAGTAGCTGTGTTATGACTGGATAGCTCAGTCTGATATGGGTTCAGTTTCCGAGGGCTAGTTCCTGTTTCGTTCTTCGATCACAGGTTGTGAGGAGTATTCTTGCAAATAGGGGCCTCGATCACAGGGGTCCAGGGGTCAGATGAGAGAATATGAATGGTCAGCATGGATGCAACACTATCCTGGAAAAGCAGCCTAGAGGACATCCCCTCTTCATGGGATATGGAGCATTACAGTTAGAGAAGGGCAGTGTTAACTACAGAAATGTAAGTTTTAGGAAGAGAGGGAAGAAAGGGAGCAGTGATTAGTTGTTGTGAGCTATGAAATGGGCAGGTTTATATACTGTTTTGTCTCAAACTTGGGGCTGTGTTTAGTGAGTCACCTTACATTTACCCCTGATAGTGTAGGATTATAGCTTTGAGCATGTGTTTTTAGGTTAAGGAATTATTTAAATGTCAGAGATTACACTAGAGTTTGAGCTTTCACCCTTAAGTTACTTGACCACAAATTGTTTTCAAATTAAAAACTTGTTTCAGAATGTCTTTCCTAGGGGAAAAAACAACAGCTTCCCTCAGCAGTTCTTAGGAAAGTCTCTCAATTGAGGTCTACCTAACTGTATATAAGGCCACATATTTCCCAACTTGAATATAAGTCTATCAGTTTGATTTGGAAAAATAATTTTACTTTGCTTGCTTATGTTTTTTGCTGAATGTATTACAAGTACCCAAGGCTTTTCCATATTTGCATTTGATGAGAAGCACGTAAGAAGCAAAACCTTTGTTATTGTTGCCTCACCTGTGAATGACTGCAAATAAATCCTCCGTTGTTCGAGGTTTATTTGGAGACACAAACACACTTTCTGCTTCAGCCTGAGAGTCTTCACTTAGTGGTGAAATCACAGAGTCATCACTCGGTGACGATTCTTAAATTAAGAACAAAAGCATCTTTAGGAAGAAGTCACCCAGCACGCTGCTGGGCTTCACTGACTCATGGAACAACTAAGCAACAGTTACCTGACCGCCATTTTTAAAAGGAAGGAGCTGTCTGTCAGACTTAGTCCCTCCATGATAAAAGCTTTTATCTTAATTGTTTTAATAAGTGAAAAGAAAGAGGGAAACCAATACCCAGGGCTGTACTGTATTATGGGGAAGGTAAGAAAGAAAAACTTCAGGAGGTGCCACGAGACACCTTCCCATCGTGACAAAGGTGTCAACAACTGACCTTTCAGCGAAACCTCGTCCACACTTCCTTGGGTCTCCTCTGCTGCTCCGCTGTTATCAGAGGCACTTTTGGCTGAAATACCTGAAGCAATATTTTCCTGCTCAGAACATTTTTCAGGGCATGGATTTACAGTTGATATCTCTGCTTCATAGCTGATATTCCCAGGCACTTTGTCATGGTGGCGGCTCATCCCAAGTTGATGCTTAAGTTGATTGCTTATGTCTGGGACTCTAGTTGGTGAGTTGGACTGAGACGTGAGCACGTCCACAGACACAGGGTATGCAGCTTCCTCCCGGTCTACAGGAGATACCTTCTGGACCTGCGCTAGGGCTCCATCTGGACCAGCTCCACATTGTAGCATTTTACAATCCAAATCATTTGGGCGAGCAGCAGAGACCCTCTGAAATCCTTCTGCGGGAAAGTCACAACTTTCACTTGGTGTGTTTTCTGGAATAGGCTCACTGTCCATATGTATTTGGTCTTTTGTGCCACTTGAATCTAGAAGGTTGGTACCAGCTGAGGTTACCATTTCTGGATCACAATGATTCTTCACATCAAAAGAACGGTTTTTTTCTAATTGTAGTTTATCTGATTCCATCTCAACTGCAGAGGAGTCTAAAAAGGACAATATGGTGTCTTCAGTGGAGTACTGACGTGATAGTGATTTCTTAGTCATATGTGGCCTAATCTTACCTGGAGACAGGGCAGCCATGGTGAGAGTGCTTTCCTCTAAGTAGGGGAGATCTGTATTGTTGCCTTCTTTTTGCTTAACTTCTTCAGACCTACTGATGGACCTAAGGTTGACAGATTTCAGGACTGTTGGTGTAATTGCAAGAGACGGTGGAGGATTTGACCTCAGTGTTTCTCCTACTGCATTTTGCTTATTATGACTGAAAACATGCAATGGGTGACGGTGGTGGAATGGTTTATTTAAGACATTATGAAGAGCACTTAGGTCAAGATGGGTAGGAGGTATAATTGGAAGTTCAAGGTCTTTACCCAGTGATAGAACTCCGTCTTTTAAAGAGGGTTGCTGTAGTGAGGATTTCCTTTCTGGGACTTTTGGTTTTCTTTTGCTACCTCCAGGAGACAATGGGCCAGAAAAGAAAGCTGTAGGGAAAGAGGACGTTGGCGTTTCAGACTGGCTGGAGTAGCCACTTGACGGAGATGCCAAGCCAGCCAGCTTTTCTGGTGAAGCCAGTTTAAACTCATTGTCAACAGAAGGAAGGGAGGGGGTGGTGGCTCTAGATTCCGACTGGGATGTTTGGGATTCCGAGCTCTCTGGAGATTTGATGCATTCGATAACTGTGGTACCCGTAGCAGTGCTTGAATTAGATAAAGATCTGTAAGGATCATTTGTTTTCAAGTCATTTAGAAGCCAGAGGTCTGCATAGTGAGTTGATTCAGCACCTTCATCTTTGAATGGTGGAACATCTGGAGTGTCTAACTGAGGTTCCTTAATGCCATGTTCACTCTGGTTCATCCAAGAAGGTTCCTGCTTGGTGGGCAGACTGGCATTTTCCATTCGAGAAGGCGTGTTGGAGAAATCAAGAGGCAGCTTCATTTCCCTGGAACTGTGAGGCAGGAGCTGGCCACTGCTTATCTTTGGTTCTTTCTTCTCAGAAATGTCTGCATTTCCATCAGACTTCCTCAATGATGAGCTACGTTTAGGTGGAGTCGGCTTTGCCTTTGGTTTCCTGAAAGAGATGCTTGGTCTCCCCTGTCTCCTGTGGTCTAAGTAGTCCTGCCAGGCACAGTCTGGAAGAGTAGGAGGAACCCCGACACCCTGGCCATTCTCTGGGCCCAGGGCTGCATAGTGACAGACGTAACTCTTACTACCTTTGAGACCACAGTCAAAGTGCATGGAGGTGTAGTATCCTTCTGTGTCCACCGAAAAGTGAGAGCTAGTGTCTGCTTTGTCCGATGGAGACTTTTCCAGAAAGCTGTCATAAGTGGCCATGCTCGTGAAGCTTGGGCAGCCCAGGCTGTCTGCCTTGGGACGCTCAGGGCTAAAATCCTGGCGGCAGGAGGCATCGTGATGGTGGTGTAGGTAATTCCACTCGCTGTCACTCGTGTTGCTATTGTTGGGGTCATCCAACAGATCTGCCACAGTGGAGGTAAAGGAGTTTGCTCGGTGGCCCCTCGCTTTATCCAGGTGGTCGTTGTACTGCTCTGTCACGAAGACACTAGCGTCCTCATTAGCGTGAGGGGCTGTGTTTAGTGACAACTCCGAGTCACAGTGTGAAGAGCCAGTGAGGGGAGGAGAGGCTGCAGGAGGGATTGTCTCTGAGGTCTGTGAGGGGCATGTGGAGCTGCTCCCACTCCAGTTGCCACTGGATGACTGGTGGTCATCTTTCTGGTCCATGTGGCTGCTGAGGAGGACGCCAGCCGTGGAGATGCAGTGGATGGGGCTCCCAAAGGTGTCCGAGTTGGAGGAGATGTCACAGCTGCCAGAGTCGGCAGCCATCCGGGGCAGGCGTGACCTCCCTCTCTCACTTAACTTGTGCTGGGGGCTGTGAAGATGTTGAGAACAGGCCAGGCTCAAAGCAGGCTGGTGCTCCTGTGCACTCGGGCTGCTGGGGGCCTCGCTGCAATCGTTAAGGGTTCTTTCTTGGTCTCCCACGAAAGGCTCCCCCTCTTCATATGCTGAGGGTTTAGCACCAGCTTTGGGCTCAGCATCCCCACCTCTATTGCCCTCCCTGGGAAGGCTCCGAGATCTTGTGCGGCTGCTCACTGCAGGAGTAAACATGGTGTCGCCTTTGTCTGCCAATGCGGAAATGTTGCCAGCAGAATGAGAAAGGGAAGCTGCAATGCTTTGACCCCTCTGAGCTCTGATTCTCCTTCTGGATGGAGCAGCGATCAGAATGTCCTCAGTTTGGCACTCCGAGTCCCTGGTTCCAGACCTCCTATTGACAGCGTTGGAAGGATCTGGATTTGTGTGCACAATCACATTCCTTTCCCTGGCCACGGGCGATTCATCAGAATCTAGGGCACATGGAAAGCACAGTGAGATACTTCATACATCAGCAGATAAACAGACATTCTGAGAGATGTCCACAATTCTGGGTGCCGGCATGTTGGAGTTTTTTCTTACAGAAAAAAAAAAAATCAGCATATAAAATTAGGAGCAAGTTAAAATGCTTTGGGCGGTCTCTCTCTGTCCCTTTACCTTTCTGACTCTCTCTCTCTCTCTCTGTATATATACACAGATACACACACACTATATGTATGTGTGTATGTATACTAAGGGAAGATAAGCTCTTAGATCTTTTGTGAATTCTCTCTCTCTTCACGATCAAATTACTTTGCCCCAGTAAGTGTCTACTATTTTTTTTTTAACCAAAATACATCTTATTTTCTTGGCCACTATACACTTTTATTTCTCAGTATAAACATAATGAAATAAAAATCATAGAATGCATTATATGAAGTAAAAATCTTAATTACAAGAGATGCTATCATAATAATAATTTTAAAAACCATAGGAAGAGATATCTTAAACACATTGAACAGAAAAAAATAGAAAAAACGTCACCAAGGGTATCATATTATGAATAGTCAATATTTAATTGAGTATGCTTAAAGTTTACCTTTTAAAATAATTAATGCCATAAAAGTATATCTCTCTCCAGATAAATGTATATTTCTCTAAAAGAATCTTTCATTGCATCTTGTTAATTTTTACTTAATTTCTGCCTTAATAATACTTTTTAAAAATAGCAAAATATTATATTTCAGCCATAAAATCTGAATGTATATGGCTAAATCCATAAGGTCAAGCCTTCACAGCCTGGAAGAATGGAGATTTAAAAAGTAATACCACCTGGCTTACTGAACACAAAACAAGTACACATCATTTCAAAACCTATACAAGTTACAACGTTGACTATTTTTAAGGAAGCTGGTTAAAGGCTGGCTTCCATTTCGTCTCCTTATAATCGGCACCCGACAGAACGTTAACCATTAATAGTTTTATACCACACCTATTTCTTGTTGGACTCTTCTGGGGATACCCGAGATGGTTTTCCTCCTTCTCAGTTTTCGTCTCCGCTGTAGTACGGATTGTGAATGAACAAGAGAGCAGCGTATACTAGCCTCTCTGTCAAAACCAACTCCTGCAACCCACAAATAGGTCTCATTAGCCTCTAGAAATGGCAAACAAATTTTCATTTGCTTGGAACACAGTGATATTTATTGATTGGAACTAAAGGAAGAGTTTGGATTAAGCCTGTGAACAAATATAAGGGAGCCCTTATTCAGCTCTTATTTAAATTATGCTGCAGTACATTAAACTTTACTTCTAAATGCAGCTCTCCACAACAGCTTGCACTGCCAAAAGTAAGAAGCAAAGAAGGAAAATCAAAAGAAAGAGGAGAGAAAAATAACATCAAAGAATCACACTCACACAGAAATGGCTCCTTAAGGACTTACAACCTTTAGTTACTACTCTTTGCTGGTCTCTTTCTGGGCTCTCTGAAGCTGATATCTTTGCATAGTAGGTACGTAGCCAAGATGTTAACCTGAATTAGTTCAGCTAACATATCCTGACCCATTTCTGCATTAAAAGTGTCATTGTGAGGGGTTTTTTCCCCTCTACCTACTCTGCACTCTGCCCAAGCCCTACACACACACACACACACACACACACACACACACTCTCTCTCTCTCTCTCTCTCTCTCTCTCACACTCACACACTCTCTCTCTCTCCCTCCCTCCCCCTCTCCCCCTCCCCCTCTCCCTCTCTCCCTCTCCCTCTCTGTCTCTCTCCCTCTCTCTCCCCCTCTCTCTCCCTCTCTGTCTCTCCCTCTCTCTCCCTCTCTGTCTCTCCCTCTCTCTCCCTCTCTCTCTCTCCCTCTCTCTCTCTCCCTCTCTCCCTCCCTCCCTCCCCCCCTCCCTCCCTCCCTCCCCCCTCCTCTCTCCTCTCTCTCTCTCTGGAAACAACAGCCTAGAGATATGTTTTTAAAATCATCATGTAACTGTCTACTTTCCTCTGCTGACTAAATTGGACACATTTTGGTTTAGCAGCAGTGTCTTATCAATATAAAATAAAAATAAAAGGCAGTCCTCAGTTCTTCACTTAAGTGGATCTATCTTCTGTACCAATTGTAAGTAAAGCTGGAATTCCCAGTCTTTACACGTGTCTGTTTTCTTTTGTAAATACACGGGGGAAACCATGATGCTTGTTAGTTTCTCTTTCCATAATTACATTATTGACACACTACATGCAGTCCTATCAAAACTAGAATGATGAAGGAGGAGGTGAGGAACTTGAACTCCTGCCTGGCACAGGCATGTACCAGGAACTTTTCATAGTGAGCACTGCTTCAGAAAGCCATAAGCCAAAAGTGCTTTGGGATCTGGTTGCTTCCTCGTGTATCCTGACTGTTAAACATGGGGCAGGACGGCATGTTAAACTTTGGTTCAGCTATACAGTAAAGCAGTTTGAGTTCTGCTTAGCTTTACAGTGACAACAGTTTGTAGAACTCATGTTGAAAAATCTGTATGAGATGTCATATGTTGAATACTTTCAGTACCATCAGAATTCCTCCTAATGAAATTTTCCTTTTTTAGTTCTAACCAAAGATTAAAATCCTTCCTTTTGATCATAATAATTATGTTACAGGCACAGGTATTTTGTGTCATATGGACATAGTTAACAACTTTCTCATTAAAGCTCTTGAAATCAACATATAATCTAGGCTTTAGTCTGAGAGTTCCTGAAATAAAGCAGGAGAGAGCTTCCCTTTTCCTGAATTACAAGACCCATACTCGAAGGACTAAATTTGAAAACAAGACTTTACTTACAGTGCCATGAAGAAAGCAGGTGCTGCTAATAATCAGATGTTCCCAGAACTGAAAGTTAGTTTAAGTGGAGCCAAAATGATTCATTCTGACAGCTGAACTCCCCTAAGCCATCTCAGTTAGATTACGGAGATCAGATAAAGTGCACATCTTTAGAATACTTTATCCTACAAGTTGAATAGGTCATCAGGAAAATTAAGTCCCAGCTCACAACCAGCCGATCACCTAGAACTCCTTTTGTCAGGAAGAAAATAATATTTACCCTGATACCTGGTCACCATTTGCTCCCCACTTTATATGAGACAAATTTGAGTGACGTTAATAATAGCCATGTCCAAAATGCATCTCGAGCAACATACAATCTTTAGTTACAAGGCACCAGGATGGAAATCAGTCATAAAGTGGCCATTCTGAGATTTTCAATATAAGAATAAGTTAGAATTTAACTATTAGAGATGCTTAAAGAAAGCCCAATGGGTACATCATTTAATTCCTATCTTTGAAAGTTAGAATATTTTATAGCATTATTTTACTTACAACTAAGGTTACCACATTCTAAGATCACCAATTCTGGATTTTACAATTGCTGCCAGTAGACTTTTCAAGAAAAGTCCACACAGGCTTGCCTTTGACCTAGACTAATAGCCAAACTCTCAATACACAGGAGGAGGAAAGCAGAGGGTGAATGGAAGCCAGGCTTGCTGCGTTTAGAGTAGAATTCAGCCTTCACCTATGAATCCATGTGTTTTTTAGGTCAAAACTCCCCCAAATCAATGCAGAAGTGTAGACGATCTCTGAAACAAGCCTACCTCCATCCAGGAAGCATGAAAACAGATTTTATAGTTGGGCTACAGGATCACTAGTTGCGGTTTTGGAAACCTGGGGCTTGCTGTTTTCTCTCTTGCAGTGCCGCGCATCATTATCATGTGATTAATCACTGCCGTTTTCTCCATTATTTCAGTCAGCTATGGCCAGAGAGCTATTTGGTGACTTTTTTTTTTTCCAAAAAGAAACTGTCCATCATTTACATAACAAGCAGCCCAGCGGAACATATGCAAATTGATGTTCAAAACCTGATAAAAGCATATTGAACATCTTCTGGGTCGTATTCTGATGAAAAGGGTATCATGTGTTTACAAAACGTATTCTTAACTGGTACACCAAGCAGCACAGATCTTAACTGGTACACCATATTTAATACATGGAATATTCTGACCCCACTGCCCCTAAGAAAAAAACAGAACGATACCAGTGACATTGATGGGAATAATGCAAGAAGAAATCACTTGGGCATCTTGTTTCATCTTCTCCTCCGGCGTCGGGAGAGGTAGTGCTTTGCTCCAGTTGGTCTGCTTGTCCAGTGTGGAAGGGATATTGTGTACTGGGTTTTTCGGCCTCTGCCCTAGCATGACATCTGTATCTTCGTCCTCCGGGGGATGGGACTGCAAACGAAGTACATTCAGATTCAGACTCAGCCATCAGGGTTTATACGTAAGCACATATATATTTCAGAGTTAAGAAAAATGAGGTCAGAAATAAGCTTTCAGGTCAAAGGAAGAATTCCTAGACGTAGTTAGTAAGTACAACTAACTGAAAGTTACGATTTCAGTAGTCAAGCAACACAAAAGAAAAAAAATAGGCTAAACATGCTTTTCGGGTCAAAGGGAATTAAGCGGAGAGACAAGGTAGCCAGAAATCCCCAAACTTCAAACTGAAGAAAGATGTGAGTCTCTAATCCGCTGAGAGGTAGATTCACTTTCTGGATAGCTGTCTCACCATAAATTCCTACTCAAACTCTTGAAAGCTCTAGGTGACTAGGATCAAAGGGAGAAGATGATTTAGATGCCTATGAAAAGGTTTGGAAAACTGGCCAGAAAGCCTGGAGTCAGGAGACATTCCAGAACACATAACCAGAAGGACAAGCCGACCTAATCTGAGAGGCCAGATTCAAATACACGGAGTTAATTTTACTGCAGGATGATGGCATTTGTGAATGACGTTTTAAAATGCAATTTTGTCAACACTGTGCATGTGGAAAAGCAAAAGTGAAGAATCTCCTCCCACCGACGATAGTGGAAAATACAAATACTGTTACTGGGGGAAAAGATTCAAGTGGGTTTCATTTTCAAATTCCGAAGAGTAAAATAGTCCTAGTTTATTTTCTTTCAGCTTCGCAGTGCGAAGCTTTTCTTCCAGCTGTGTATTTAAAGACCTTGACTTCTATGTGATATTTGCAAATTCTCCATCCAAACCTTTGATCGATTTTAATACTGTCTAACTTTGATTTCAGGGTTGGGCTCCTAGCCCAGATTATTAAAAAGGCTCCATCCCAAGTTTGATTTCAGGGCTGGGTTTCTAAACCAGATTATTAAAAGACTTAGTTTTTGCTGCTGAACCTAGTTCTATTTCTTCCCACAATTTGTTGGGAGGTGGCTGTTTGTGTAAAATAAGCATTTTTCCCTCTTACTCCAGTTAGGTTTTAATAATATTGTCCTAAAATCAGGATCATTAAAAAACATTCTCATTCTCACATTTGGAAGCATCGTGCCCTGTTGACTCGGGATTTCACGTATTGTCAAAGTCCCCTTAAAGAGAAGATTCCAGAGCCACTTGTTTTAAACTAACCCCCAGCATTTGCTTACCTTGTCAGAGGTACCTGCAAAGCCCCCCAGCACACCCAACAGGATATGATTACCCCCCTTGAGAAAAAGGTGTTCGCCATGAACATTTTTAGTACAACATTGCAACCTTCTTTCTCTCTTCAGCTTTTGTGCAGATTCCCAGCAAAGCAAATAGCTCAAATAAAGTTGGAGCACAAAAGACTTTGTTTCCTAGGTAACTTCCAAAAAGGAAACAAAAAGGTTTGGTGTGTGCCGAGAGACAGAGAGGGGGAGAGAGCAGGAGCTGGAGAGAACCCCCTGCCCCCCGACACACACCACAGTCCACATTTTGTCAGCGATTCCTTCCTTGAATAACAATGGACTGGGAAACAAAGAAAGAATAGTGACCTGACTGCAGGCTCTGGCCGGCAGCCAAAAGCACTTTTTATTTAATGGTGACAGGGACAATTGGCTGACGGCGAATCCTTTTGTCCTGTTCTCTTTTGCTTTGAGAAGCTGAACCTTTACAGTTCTAACAAATATAGGGCAAGTTGAAATTTCTTTTCTCCAAACTGCAGAGTCCAGGGATGGTGTTAGGTGACGCCTTGAACAAAGCCTTAATTGCAGCTTGGAGGAGGGGGGGATGTAAAAGCCAATGATATTACTGTCTACTTTATATTTTATTTAATTCAAGTTAGGAAAATACCGCTCTTTAAATTGATTTAAAAGAATACCTGTTAGTTAGTTAGAAACAACACAGTTTGCCATAAAGAAAGAGAGAAGAAAGTGAAAGTGTATAGAGAGAATGGGATAGGCTGTGACGGAACGTTCTCAGAACCAGTACCTTTCTACTCCATGGGGTCATGTGGCAACATTCAGTGGGGGAGGGCGAACGGGTGCTGTTAAACTATGAACATGAAATGCAAAAAAAGAAAAAATTAAAAACATGCACACAACACACAGTATCTGGTTAAGTCAAATCTATGATATTAATGAATGAATATATTGGGGTCACTCCCTTCCTTCCTTCAGAATGCGTCTTGGTTTTATGAGAAGTAGCATAAATAGTGGTTATGGTTAAGAGCACAGATTCTGGAGCTAGACTGAGTTTGAATCCTGCTTCTACCACTTATTTGCTGTGTGACCAGGGGCTTTAAGGTCAGTTTTCTTGTCCTTAAGATAGGAAAAGAATAGTATCTACCTTCCAGGGCCATTTTGAGGATTAAATGAGTAAATATAAATAATAGGCTTAGAAGAATCTGGGCACTTAAGAAGCTCTGTGGGTTAGTGTCAGCTACTGTTCCTATTACTATTATCCTTACCATGTAGCTATAAAATATCTGTGAAATTGTCTTTGTAAATTGTAACTTTATATCTTTTAGATCCCAGTGCCATTTGCTAATTTGGGAAAGACCAAATTATCTTCTTAGAGTGAGTTTATTTTCCTCTGAACTCTTCGGAAGAAAATTTCTTGTGTATTATTTCCTCCTCTGGACTGCTCCAAATGTGCCCCTTCCTCATATTCATAGTCTGTATTTGAAGACAGGGCCGGTTTCATGGGCATGTGACCTGTGTAGTCACATAGGGCCCCACGCTCAGAAGGGCTCCATGCTTGGTTAGATGCTGTCACCGTCTTGAAATGCTTAGTTGTTGAGTAATGGGTCCTGCATTTTCATTTTGCACTGGGCCCCACACATCATGTAGCCAATCCTGTTAGGAGACTAATCTAGTAACCAGAATCCCCTTTGCAGGATCTACTTGAGAAGGACAGTGAAACTCTTTTAAACTCTAAACCATGTCAGCTTTGGATTCAGTTAGCCCTCTAGTACAGCACTTTCCATATAGCATTGCTTTACTGTAACATGAATTATCCCTGGATGTGTCTTTTCATCTATTAGATTATGAATTCCTAGAGGTCAGGGGCCATATTTAATTTTCCTTTCAGTCTTCCATGATGTCAGCAAAATGCCTCCTCATTGCAAGAACTCAACAAATTATTTGTGCACTTGAATGATACCAGCTCTGTGTGTCTTAACAGTGATGGGAAACCCAAATAAAGTAAGGGTCATGCTCAAGATCTCAGGAGGAAGCAGACACCGCGGACTTCAAGGGTACTTACCATCTTAGTGCAAATAGGTGAAAACAAATAGAGGAAACCACAAGGAATGCTCGGTTCCATCAGAGGCTTAGCATTGGTGTATGCAGTTCTAGTTCTTCTTAAGCCTATGGCAGGGGAGGAACACTCAATTCTGTTCTACGTTTCTAAATTTTAACTGACAGGGTTGCTCATTAACTTTTAAGCAAAGCAAATGCCATCTCCTCAGGCCCAGTTAACTTTGATCTAGATCGTATTTAAGAAGATAATTTCATAGGGTCTGTGGCTCCCACGTTGAAAGCGATCATTTTGACAGATGTGGTATATGTGGCCAGAGACTAACTTGGCTCTGTCATAAGAATCAGTCATAGGTAGTGATGTGCAGGTCACGAGTAAGACGCTATAGTGTGCAAAATAGAGAACTCATGGAAGTAGGAAAAGGAACCTGAATGCAAAGCCTACATGGAAATCGAACCTGTTTCCAAGAAACAAAAGGTGTCTCATGAAAGGATTTCAAAAAATTACACAGGAGGAAACTGCAAGGCAGAAAATATATTAGTGATGTTAATATAGTAATTTTGGTAGTTTGTCTTAAATCTCCTTAGTCAGCTTTCCTGTTGAGTATTTTTTCCAGGAGTGAGGGATGAGGCATGGTTTTTATTTCTCATCTGTTTGAGAAACGCCCCCATTCCATTAAACAAACATGAGGTAACACCTGGAAATGACTAAGGACGGCAAGTCCAGAGAGAGAGCTCAGACCATTCAGTTTTGGTCACCATCATTAAATCAAGGTCTGCGTGGGTTACACTCCACAGAAGATTCCTTCTCAGCTAATCAGCGTCTCCACTCTTCTTTAAAATTTAATTTTTAAATGGAAGTATTTACAATATTGTGTTAGTTTTCAGGTGTACAATCCACTCTTTGGATAGTAGCTCCAACCTCCAGCTTGTGAGGGCTGAAACTAGGTACTCTTGAGCTCGTGTGTGGAAGGATTGTGTTCTTTGGTTCCACCACCTAGACACAAGCACTCAAGCCCCTGCAGATGGTCTGTCTGTGTAGAGTATTTAAGTTTATAATATTCACGTGAGCTATGGTTTTATTCTTGCCATGAATTAGTAACTGCCTTAGTGTAGTGTTTTTTTAATATACATTTATTTTTATTTATTTGTTCATTTATTTATTTATTTTTGGCTGCATTGGGTCTTCGTTGCTGCGCGCAGGCTTTCTCTAGTTGCGGCAAGCGGGGGCTACTCTTCGTTGCAGTGTGCGGGCTTCTCATTGCGGTGGCTTCTCTTGTTGCGGAGCACGGGCTCTAGGTGTGTGGGCTTCAGTAGTTGTGGCGCATGGGCTTAGTTGCTCTGCGGCATGTGGGATCTTCCGGGACCAGGGCTCGAACCGGTGTCCCCTGCATTGGCAGGCGGATTCTTAACCACTGCACCACAAGGGAAGTCCCTAGCGAAGTGTTTTAAAGCATCCTCTTTCCTGGGTATTTGGTCAAAGGAAATAAAATCATTCTGATTATTTCTGATTAGGTTTTTATATGGCAAATACAATAGTCAGTTCATACAGTTTTTTCTTAAATTATCTAAGAAATAAAACTGCAAGAGAACTGCTACCTTGGGGTATCTCTGCATGGCCCAGCATGCTATTCCTTAACGTAGATGGATAAGGTTAGGAAAAGCTACATGCTGATCAAACTTGTGTGAACTAAATTATTCTTTAAAGGCTCTATTTAAATTAATCCTGTTGCTTATTTCAGACTAAGACTTGTAAGGGCAGGAACCATTTCTTGTTCATAACTGTATTCCTACTGCCTCAGTAATACTCAGTAAATATTTGTTGTACTGCTAACACCCCCGTGTGCCTGGCATAAGCAAACAAAAATCTTCTATAAAGAAGCTGTCAAATTATTTCTACATACAATTTTTCAGTATAACATCCAGCACAAAGTCAAAGATAACAAGGCAAGGAGGAGACAAATCAGCATGAACAAGAAGCATCCAAAACAGCAGATGACAGAAGCAGACCCATGGGGAAATCTGCTTTTGGAATTATTACTCCATGCACGAGTAGCAGTGAGCAACATTGGCTTCCCCAGAATAAGTGTGTGGCAAGATTGTTAGACCACTCATTCATTCATTCGAAAGCACTTCTTTGATGAGGGTCAGAATCAGCCCCAGTATAAACAAATTGTCAGATGAAAACTAATATCACCTTCATGAGTTATATGCGTGTTCACTGTATGGTTCTTTTGACTTTTCTGTACTTTTCATGAAACTTTTCATAACAAAACATTGAAGAAAGGTGCAAAAAGAAATATCTCCTTCCTTTTCCAGGCTTCCACTCTGGCCCTCCCACTGATTTTGAGAGGCCTCAGACTCCGTACTGCACCATTTTAGAATCAGCCACCACCAGTCATCTTGTCCCTGACAAAAGATGCTTCTTTGATGCTTTCACTGCATTTCTGTCCCTGCTGGCCCCATTAGTTATAGCCTCAAATTGTTACCCTAGCTTCCTATGGAACTCCTTCAACAAAAGCTGGAGTTATAACCAGTGTTCGGAACAAGAAATAACAGACATTATACTCAAAGCTGTCAAAGAAATTTCTTTGGTGAATGATGAAGGAATATTTTCCAAACCCCAGTTTCTCCTTGTGGTGTGTGTGTGAGAGAAAAGTTAATTTCTCCACTTTTGTGGCTATGAACAAGTATTTCTCCAAAGATCTCAAGACTTTCTCCAATCTTTCTCTTACTGCCGAAAGAAAAAAAATAATCCGTCCACAGTTTACTTTCTTTTCGGTTTTATTTCATACTCTGATGGGGGCTTGTTTTGCTTCAGAACTTTCCAAAAGACATCTGTTAAAATGTTGTGGTAATTCCAGCAGGAAGTGTTTTGAAAAATTGGCTTTGGTTTGTGATCTAACCGATACCACATGGCATTTATAGCAGTAGACTTTCCGAGCTGATTTATTACTATCATGCTGTCTTAAACATGAGAATTGTTTACTAGAGAACGGATGCCGTGGCATACTGGAATACAGGAGTAAAACCTTAGAGCGAAGATGTCCACTGCAAGCCACGCTGGGTTCCTAGTAGGTGAGCTGAGATCTTATTCTCATTCTACCCTGGGGCTTGTTGTCCTTAGACCGAGTCTTTGCATTTCTGCACGTATTATGGCCTGTCTGTGAGATAGAGGGGAACTTGGCTGCCTCAGATTTTTCTTCACTGGAGTGTGTGTATGTGTTGTACATAAATATGAAGTGCTTTGATCTTTCTGGAAGGCTTAAAAGAGTCTGGCAATACCTTCTTCACATATCGCTCTTACTGCTACAATTACATAGCACTGTTATTCCCTTGAGAATGTCCCAGAGTCTCCTACTGGCTCACACTGGGCTCCTATCTTCCAAACATGTTCAGTAACATCACGTTAAACTCCTACTGTGCTTCTCCCTTTCCTTTCTTCTCAACTCCAACCTTCACCAAAGTGTACAACCATGGGGAAAACAAAACGATGAGGGAAGTCAAAGTTTAGGGCCCATCCTAGGCTTTCCCTGTCCCTTTCCTGGTTCCTCCTTTGTCACCACTCTTTCCCAGGCAAAGCAAGGCCTTCACACTTCCCCAGAGGGCCTGAATGCAGCACCCCACGTGCCCAAACCCTTCACGCCACTCTCCCAGCCAGTTGCGAGGCTGGAAAGAAGCCTGCAGATGAGCTCACATCAACGTGCTGAGAACTCCTGGTGATAAACCCAAAGGAATAAATCTCAAGCAGAATTCTGGACAGTGGTTGTAGGCTAAGAGGAAGATATTTGAGAA